TCCAGCTCTTTCAGATGGGAGGGGTTGGCGTTGATAGCTGATGCGAGAGAAGTGCAGCCTTCTTCTGTGATCAGACAGCCTGACAAACTAGAGTCCCACAAATTTAGCAGATTCTCAGAACTTTCAAATATGATCAAATGTTTTTAATGTTTTTTGAAAAAATAATTATACTATGCTTATAATAACTGAGAAAGAGAGTAAGCTATAACCATGTCTTTCCTATCTAAATGTAAGTTTAAAAAGCTCTTTATCTGACCTGAGAGTTTCCAGTGTACACTGAGGACTTTCAAGCCCCACTGAGAGAAGCATCACGCCTGAATCCAGCAGATTGTTGTTACCCAGGTCCAGCTCTTTTAGACTGCAAGACTGGGAACAGAGGACTGTGGAAAGAGCTTCACAGGTTCTTTCTGAAAGGTTGCAGCAACTTAGCCTAAAGAGACAAACAAAATTCAAAGGTGTTCTACTTTTTCTTTAGTTGTAAGCTACTTTGTATTATTTTCATTCATAAATAAATGCTATCTATGTACTTACAGAGCTTTTTTAGAGGCTTTCACAACTGGCAACAGATTCAGAAGAGCCTCCTCTGAAGCAGAGTATTTTTTCAAGTCAAACACATCCAGATCTTCTTCTGATGACAGTAAGATGAAGACCAGAGCTGACCACTGAGCAGGAGTCAGTTTATCTGTGGAGAGACTTCCTGATCTCAGGGACTGTTGGATCTCTTTCAATAGAGAACGGTCATTCAGTTCATTCAAACAGTGGAACAGATTGATACTTTTCTCTGCAGACAGATTTTCACTGAGTTTCTCCTTGATGTACTGAACTGTTTCCTGATTGGTCTGTGAGCTACTTCCTGTCTGTATCAGCAGACCTTGAAGGAGAGACTGACTGGTCTGCAGTGAAAGACCCAGGAGGAAGCGCAGGAATAAGTCCAGGTGTCCATTTGGACTCTGTAACGCCTTATTCACAGCACTTTGATGGAAATGAGTCTCTGTAAAGTATCTTGGTTTTGACCTCTTGGAGGTTGGTTGTTGTCCTTCTAGCAGATTGAGTCCAGAGTTGATGAAGCTCAGGTGGACATGAAGAGCAGCCAGAAACTCCTGAACACTCAGATGGATGAAGCAGAACACCTTGTCCTGGTACAGTCC